TATAGCATTTTCTCCATGCTAATGTGATCTATAAAGAGATTCCTATATTGGGCGATACTTATATTCTTTTTGGCCTTCAAGTTCATGAGGATAGTTTTCTTGGCGATGCATAAGGCAGTAAGAAGTATGTATGATGTGTCAACCTCCATACTAATGTCACTTAGGTCCCCCAGCATGCAGAGTGATGGGGAAACTGGGACGGGGTAACTTAGCCATATTGTCTTCATATATCTTTTGCCACTTTTGAACAGGTGCACATTGCCACATAGCATGCATGTAACTCTCAAATATGTTACCTGAGCAGACTAATGGATCTGGACTAATGGATAGATCTGTCAATTCAATTCAGTTCAATTCAAATTAGCTTTATTGGCATTAATGTGTAACAACAATATTGCCAAAGCATCATACATACAACATAAGAACAATCAACCCCATACATTTTATTAAACAAGTAATTAAAGCGTAAAGTAATCAAAGCGTATGTGTTTGTGTAAAAAAAAAAAAGAAGAAATATAAAAAATTTAAATAAAATAAATAAACAAAACAGTAAGCTTGTGTGTGTTTGTGTGTGTGTGTGTGTGTGTGTTTAAAAAAAAAAAATTAACAAAAAAAAATAATAAAACAGTAAGCGTGTGTGTGTGTGTTAAAAAATATATAAATAAAAATAAATAAATAAATGAAACAGTAACGTATGTGTGTATATATTAATAGACAATTTCTTTTAAAATAATTAATTGATTAAAAAAAAATAATAATAAAAACAATCAGTTTCAAATGTAAAAACAAAACAATTACTAAAATAACAAACAATCAAAATAATATTTTATATATTTATCAGTCTGAGGTTCCACTGGGTGTCCTCACTTCATGGCATGAGGAGACATATTTTGCAGCAATTATTTCACATTTAGGCATTTCTCCCTGTAAATAGGGAAGTTTCAGTGTGTCTGATATGAATTCGAATTCGGGGTATATTTGGGAATATGTTTTATATTTAGGACATGAGGTTAGAAAGTGCAGCTCTGTCTCTATCTGTCCCCTGTCACACTGGGAGCAGAGTCTCTCTTCTTGTGGTAGCCAGCTCTGTCTGTGGCGACCCTTTTCTATGGCCAGGCTGTGTTCACTCAGTCTGTATGTTGTCAGCATTTTGTTCAGTTTGGGACATTTTATTGTAATCAGGTAATTTGCCAGTGTGAATTCTCTTTTTAGGGTCAGACATTGTAATTTACTTTGTGTTTTGGTCGTTTCCAGTATTCAATATATTTTTCTTTCTGCTTGCTATAATAATATATAATGCGCTAATTTGGTTTGGTCTGCTTGAGTTGGTGTTGCTGTCCTGAGGCTGTTGGGGACTTGTTACTGCAGAGAGCCTCAGGACCAGCTGGCTGAGGGGACTCTTCTCTGGTTTCAGCTCCTGTTATGTTAGGGCTTTGTGATGATATGTCTGGGGTATGCCTGACTCCCACTTTAAGAATGGGAGAGAAATTGAACTCTTTTTTTAACAGTAACATGTATAATTTTGATAACAGGAGGCGAGAGTTTAAGAAAGTCTGTTATCATTGGAGGTAGATCTAAGTCCATTATTTTATCCTTAAATCCAGCATGAATTATGGATTTAAACTGTTGAAATTCCAGAAATCTATTATGGCTAATTCCATATTGTGCCACTAGATCCTGGAATGGAATAAAGTTACTGCCTTGCATTACATGCTCTAGATGTCTTATCCCTTTGTCATACCACAGTAGGGAATTTAGTAATTTCTTATTTTACAGGATGTCAGGATTATTCCAGATTGGGGTAAATCTGCATGGGATAGGTGAAGACCCAGATATTTTGAGAAGTTCCCACCAAGATGCCAGGGAAGTGCTTATAGTGTTAATGCTTTTAAAGCAGGTATGACGTTTGATGCTGGAACTGATGAATGGCATATCGGAAATTAAGATTTCCGATATGCCATGTTTGCTCTATGTCATAATGGTTCTATGTCCATCCATGAGTGGTCCAGGGGGCTCTGATTGATCCATTTTGAGATATATTGTAGTCTATTGGACATGAAGTAATGATAAAAAAAATTGGCAGTTCTAAACCACCACAGTCTTTTTGCTTTTTGCATAGTTTTTAAACTGATTCGTGGGGGTTTATTTTTCCACAAAAATTTTGAGATGTTTGAGTCCAGTGACTTAAACCAGACAGCAGAGGGTTTGGTGGGTAACATTGAAAACAGGTAATTGATTTTAGGTAAGACCATCATTTTTATGGTGGAGACTCTTCCCATGAGTGATATAGGTAATGATGTTCACCATACAAGGTCATCCTGAAGGACAAAATAATGCCTCTGGAGACTAAAGCATGGAGAAAGAAGTATGATCATTTGTTCTGACAGAAGCTCTTGGGGAACTGTATACTGTATAAGATTTTAATCTATGAAAGAGTTTCCAAATCCAAATTTATATAAAGTAGCGAATAGAAATTTCCAGTTTACTCAAATAGTCAAATGCTTTCAAGTTTTTATAATAATCTCTGAATGCATTGTTGATTTCTTCTGGGTTATACAGTAAGTCAGATTCCCAGATGAGTCCTTTAAGGAGGAAATTGTTATTTTTTCTTTATTCAATTTGAATTAGCTGGCTAAGAATCTGCCGGATTTATTGCCATGTTCAAAGTTCTCCAAGCGTAGTCTTTGCAACTGAAATTGGGTCTTTTTATTAATCATTTCATTTAATTCAAGTTTTGATTTCCTCAGATCATTCAGCATGTGCTCCTGTGGGAAGGCAGCAAGGGTAGTTTCTAATGTCTTTATTTTTTGTTCTAGCTCTAATTCACAAGATCTCTCTTTCTTTTTTTTTGTATGATGAATACGAGATTATTTTACCTCTCATAACTGCTTTTGCTGCCTCCCAAAGAAGACAGGGCGAGGTTCCTGGCAGGTCATTAGTTTCCATATATATTGCCCTCTCCTTTTTGAAGTAACTTATAAAATCTAGGTCTTTAAGCAATGATGGTTTAAATCTCCAACTTCGTCGCAGAGACCAAAATCGCTCATGTATTGTATAAGGGTGTCTGTTGATTTCCAAATAAGGTGACCACCTGCCGTACTGAGCCTGTCAACTGCTGGATTACATACCAGGTTGAAGTCAACTCCTAATATAAGAGCTGTGTCTGAGTGAGCAGAGAGTGAGTTGAAGAAAGCATGAAAAAAGGAGGGGTCGTCAACATTTGGGCCATAGATGTTAGCAATCTATAAAGGAGTATTTTGAATCGAAATGTTAACAATAATAAATCGACCCTCTGGATCTATAGAAGTGGTATTATGATTGTGTGTTTTTCTATTTATCATAATGGTGACACCCCTTTGTTTTGAGTTATAACAGGCTGAGTATGAGTGAGGAAACTGTGGTGAGGTTAGTTTATCTGCTGTCTTGGGTAAATGAGTCTCCTGTAGTAGGACAATGTCTGCTTGCAGATTATTTAGATGGTTAAAAATTTTTAATCTCTTTTCCCTTGAACCAACTCTGCGTCCATTCCAAGAGGTGAGCTTAAGTGTGGTCATCATTCAACTAAGGGATGTGGTGTAGGCTAGTGTGTGCAGTGTGTGTGTTGTGTGCGCCTGTATGTGTGTGTCTATTTGCGCATGTTGTATGCGCCTGCCTGTGTGTGCTAGCACCACTGCTTGTGAATTAAATAATATGAAAATTGCGCAGCTGATCGACATGTAAACAGCGGAGGAAGAGCAACATTAACAAAAGAAAGAAACAGTGAAACAAAAACAGAGGAAAATACACAAAACATTATCGGACAGTCTAGTCAGATAACCACAGTATAGGCCTTCTGTTGAGACGTGCTCTGTATTTTAAAGCAATGTTTACTGTTCTCCTGAATGATATGCTCAGGCAGAGTGTTCCTTGCAACCATGGCTCTAGACATTGCAGTGTTCTTCATCATACTGTTTTTCGCTTTGGGTAGTGTAAATCTACCCTCAGTAGTGTGCCTGGTACAATAGTCATGCACATCTGAGCACCAAAATAGCTGGTTGGCAATTTAGTAACTGAAATCTTTTTTATAAAATAAAGCAAAGAGGCAGGACATCTATATTTTACCTTTGACCAGGTTAAACAGCTATACATTGTATTTACATTAGTTCTATATGAGCACTGAAGTGTACAACGTGCTACTTTATTCTGAGCAACTTGCAATTTTTTCCTCTGAGCATGGAAGCACTGGACCAAACCATTGAGCAATAATCCAGATGAGATAGAACTAATGCCTTAATAATCTGTCCAATTACATTTATTGGTAAAAATTTAGAACATCTCCTATTCACTGAAAGACCTCTACCCATCTTTCTCACCAACTTATCAATATGCATAGACCATGATAATATACTATCTATTGTAATACCAAATGTTTGATCTCTTGAACTTGTTCATCTGCAACATCATTAACGTACAACTTTTACTTTTACTTTCCCTAATACAATGCTCTTTGTTTTAGAGATCTTTTGAACTACTTTGTTATTTATTACCCATTCAACTATAGACTGCAATTCCCTATTTAAGACACTTGCAAGTTCATGGATTCCGCCATGCAAGCTGTTGTATCATCAGCATAAATGCTAACTTTTGCCCTATACATGATTACTGGTAATTCATTTGTAAACACAGCAAATAACAATGGACCTAAACAGCTTCCTTGAGGAACTCCACAGCTAATAGGATTTTCATCAGAAAAACTTCTATTAAAGAAAATTCTTTGTTTCCTGTTGGTCAAATAGCTCTCCAGCCAAAGATATGCAATTTGATTAAATCTATAACATTTAAGTTTTTTTTAATAAAAACCTATGATCAATTATATCAAAACCTGCACTGAATTTGAGTCAGAGCAGTTTCAGTGTTGTGCCCTTCTCTATAAGCATATTGGTAGTCTTTGTTCAAATCATTCACTGAAAAATAAAATTGCATTTGTTCATAGACAATTATCTCCATTATCTTCCTTAAAGCAGGTAACAGACTCATTGGACGACTATTAGGGCCTGAAACTTGACTTGGAAAAACAGAACAAGATCTTTACAAACTTCAAGAACAACTATGTGGAGCAGGCATTGACCAGCCAATAGACACAAACCCAAAGCAGTGAACACTGTGGACACAGTGGAAATCAGAAGACACAGTGGAAAGTTGAGGATGCAGTGGAAAGTTGAGGACACAGTGGAAAGCTGAGGACGCAGTGGAAAGCTGAGGACACAGTGGAAAGCTGAGCATACAGTATAACACTGTGGACACAGTGGAAAGCTGAGGAGACAGTGTAACGCTGTGGACACAGTGGAAAGCTGAGGACGCAGTGAGCAGCAGCAGGCACCATGATCGACCTGAGTTTCCTGACGGAGGAGGAGCAGGAAACCATCCTGGCTGTGCTGAAAAGAGATACTGAGCTAAAGAAGGCTGAGGAGCAGCGTGTCCAGTGAGTTCCTTGTGTCAGTTGTTCGATGATTCAGCAGTTCTGGGTAGATGCACTAACTAATGCCTTGGTCTTTAAGTTTTATCTGTCACAGATGAGATTCTGTAGAAATTACATTACATCTCCTAACTACAAGTTCCATGGGCAGGGCAAAACTTTGCTTACAGCACAGCAGAAGCTACATGAGTTTTTTGCAGTAAAAGTTTATTCAGTTCTTCATTTCCCATACCATAGTTTAGAAATGAATCATGAGCGATGTGTCTGCACTCAGGAGCCTGCAGAAGACTGTGACTGACAAGGGCCAGCTGAAGTACATGACTGGAGAATGGTTCTATGAGACCAAGCAACTTCGCCATCAGGATCGCATCCATGGCTCCGACATCATCAGGGCCTCCATGAGCCACACATATAAACCACTGACTATATGTGAGTCTCTCTCTTAAACATTTTAAAGAAGGCAAAACCAGAGGTCCATTTCTCTAAATCTTTGTCCTTATAAGCTAGAAACAATTAAATGCTCACCAGAGTATAACATTTTTAATTTATTTAATAATGTGGTGTTTCAGGGTTAAGGATCTAAGAGTAGCTAAATTGTCACTCTTCCTCCATCCAGTAGTTTTGCTTTCTGGTGTGTAATTAACATTTAGGGCTGAACCCGAATAGTCGAAGATCCGATGCTACGATGGGTGGAGCCTGATTCGACTGTCAATCTCACAGTCGAAGCTTCGCAGTGAAATGAAGATTGTGCCTTTTTAGCGATATGGCGGCGCTCAATGTCTGATTTTAAATAGAATTACCAGTTTTCTCCCAATAAGTTAATATACAGCCTATTACAACCCAGCAAGCAATTTTAATTTTGAAAGACGTCTAATAGATGTCTCAACAGAGCCCAGACATCTAGGCTAAAGGGCTGAATTTGGGCTGTCAGTTAAAGTTTAGCAGACGTCTAACCATAGCCCAAAAATAGTCTAGTCATCAATTAGACCACTATTGAAAGACGACATGTAGACGTCTAATAGATGTTGAAAATGGGTCTAGGCTAAAACAGGACTGAATTTGGGCTGGCAGTGAAAGTTTAGTAGACACCTAACTGTAGCCCAAAAATAGTCTAGCCCCTTGACGCCAGAATTTATTTACTTATTCACTCATAAAAATAAATGGATTATTTTTGTTTTATTTGCTTTCAAGCTGATGCTAAATTAATTGGAAATTGTCAATTTGTTTTTAGAACATAGAAAAAATATAAATTCAGGTATGATGTAGGTATGATGCAAATTAGCAACAACAGGCATAAACGACAAACCAGTGCCTGAAAAAGGTTCCCAGGTACGTATTAAATATGCACCACAAACAGGCATTGGGGGAATACATACATTATCTCTACTTCAGTCTGAAAGGAAAGAGTGTAATGCGAATTCGCGATAATTGGCGTTAAGGGGCTAGTCATCAATTGAATGGAATGAATTTGGGCCGTTAGTGAAAGTTTAGTAGACGTCTAACCATAGCCCAAAAAGAGTCCAGTCATCAATTAGACCTCTATTGAATGACTAACATTATAAATAGACGTCTAATAGACGTTGAAAATGGGTCTAGGCTAAAACAATGCTGAATTTGGGCTGTCAGTGAGAAGTTAATAGACGTCTAATCATAGCCCCAAAGTAGACAAGTCATCAAATAGAATTCTTTGAATTCAGATAATTAAATGTAAGAGTTCTTAAGGGCATGCGGAAACCCAGGGGTATCATGGAGTTACAGTAACGTTAACTTGCAAGCAGCATGTAAAGTTAACCACAACTTGTCTAACTCTACACTGTTACCCGCTGAAATGTCACGGTTCCTACACATGATAACAAAAAATGTAGATAAATAATGAAGACAAAGATACAGATACTTACAAGACCAAAGTAAACATCCTTTTGCTTTGAACATTTGCTGTAAACTCTCGCCCGTTGCTCACCGAAACAGAAACGTAACTTTCGTTTAAAAGATAAAAAATGGCGAATATGTTTATCACGAGATCTGGCAACCTTAGAGAACATTACAGCAAAAATACAGATAGTTTAAATGTTTCAAACGTTTACTTGCATTTGATGATATGATTTCACGCACCTCACAAGCTGCATGCAAGCTGCATCAGCTGATCCAGGGCACAATTCCAACTCCAGATGTCTGCTTTAATCAGCTTCACATTATCTCAACTTGTTAAAATTGCTTTACTTGCCCGAACTAAACCATTTGCTAAGCTGTTAACATGTGCAAGGTGTCTATTTTCCAGTATTGTAATATTACCAAATTTGTGTAATAGTTTTCACATTATTAGTGTCCATAATTTCATCCAGTGTTTACATTGTCAGTCTTACTTACTATACTATAATTTCAAGTGAATGGACTCTTGAGTACTGTAAAATAACACTACGGTAACTCTAACCCTAACCTCTGCTACTCACTGGGGGCACTTGTCTGCACTTGTCTTAAAAAAAATCTCTCTGCGGTTTTTGATCTGTCACAGACCCCAAAAGGCATTTTTCTCTTAAACCCAAGAAAATGTGTCAAAAGAAATCTTTAAATCTCCGTTTTTCTCAAGTTATTATCTTTATTGGAGCTGTGATAATCCTCAAGATCAACATAGGGCCTTGTAGACAAAAAGGTCAGAGCAAGGAAAAGAATGGGGTTACAAAACCTTCTTAAATCATTACACATGAATGAATACAGGCTCCGCAAGGGTTCAGCACTAAAACATACAATTTGTGAAAATAAGCACTGTTGAAACTGCCCTATTTATATTGGTGAAACATAAAACATTACAGTAACAGATATAAGCCAGCACCTATTATAACAACGCATTGAAAATATACTCCTCACATCATTCTGATCAATACTCATTCTAGTGCTTCTCCTTCCGCCATGTCTGTGGCACACAAAATTAAACTGAAGATTAGATCATACACTGTAGATTATACACTGGTCAGTTTGTTTATATACTTCTGAAACTACCATGTTAGCTGGATTATAAATTGCTTGTGTGATGGGTGAGGATGGTATATAGGATGTTTCTTCATGAACCTGTGTGGTAATTATTAGGTTTTTATGTTGTAATGAGTATAGACAGTGTGTGTTACAATAAATGATTAACTTTCTTTAACAGTAGCTGTGTGTTGTGTGCTGCAGTGGAACTCTCCCAGATATTGCCTGAGAAGCCCAGCTTTGTCAGCAGTGAAAATAAAGAAGTGTTCGTCCCTCCTGTACTCCGTGGAGTCCTTCAGGAGCCTCACAGGCAGCTCAGCAATGAGAAGTGAGTATAGAAAACCGAAGCAGGAAGTTATCTACAAGCAGAAGTCACAAATTTATTTCATTTCTTAGAAGTGTTTTTCAGTGTTGACATTTTATATTTTCCCCGAAACTACACCTTCTGCTGAAGTCAGGCTTCACTGGGTCTTTTGCTTTCAAGGATCACCGAGATGGTTGATCCATTTAAAAAACATTTAAAGCTGCTATTGTCAATATTTTTCTATTAACAATAGATCAAATGACTAAATTAATGTGAAAGTCGTTGCTCATAGTGATGAACCTACAGAGAATTATCACCTGGCTCTGCAGTTCCCCTCAGCTCTGTAGAGCTTTTCATCATCTTTCTACTTGATGTGTTTTATGCCCCACAGCTTTGCTGTTTCACGTCCACCAGCATTATTGTCAGCAGCAGCAGACAGCTGTTTTCAGTGAAAAAGCTCAGAAAAACTACTGTGCACAACCTGCTCAGCACCAAACAGTTGACAGACATAGCTAGACTAGCTGATGAACATGGTAGAGTTGTTGTTGTGTTGTTCCTGCTGCATCTTCTCAACAGACCCCTAACCCAAAAGATCTGTGTTTACAACTTGTTTCTGCTGCAGAGCAATGCATTATGCAGCGAGAGCATTCACTTCTTAAAGGTTTTATTATTATTTTATTATTATTGTTATTTTTAATGTTTCGATTATTCATATCATAAACACTGCTATAAATATCTGCACCGTTATTCATTCAGGCTGTACCAACATCACTTTTACTGTCTGTGTATATTGTTTAGGCTGCTCCCCCATTGCTCGAGGTTTCTGCCTCTTACCTATTATACTGCTTTTCAAGACGTATATTGTAGTTTTTTGACTCCTGTATGGCAGCTTTGCATGACTCAAAGTTCAAAAAACATTTTATTTTCTTATACTATTTTCTTCATGTAGACTAGTGTTTCTCAGCAGGGGTGGTACCGCCCCCCAGGGGGCGTTCCGAGGACGATGGGGGGCGCTGGAAGCAATATTTTAGAAAGGGGGGCGCTGAGCTGCTTTTGGGGGGCGTTTGTTGGTTGGAAATTCCCTCGTCCCTCTCTCTCTCTCACCCGTCCCTCGATCTATCGCTCTCTCTCCCTCGTGAACACAGCTGCACAAGGCCGTCAATGTCGTAGACCCAGCTATTAAAAGTTATTAGCAAGCATGTAAGGAGCCTAGCTAATAAGGAGTGCTAAGTTAATGTTAGTATACAGCTGGGTTTTCGAGGCTAGCATGCTGCACAGCTGTTCCACAGTTACACTGTCATTCTGTGGGAAACACTGAGTTATGATAAGTTATTAACAGATGAGCTAATAAAGTCCAGTCAATAACTGAAATAAAACAGATTTATTACTGAGATGAAAAGGGGCCACAAACACATTTAAATAGGTTACTTCCCCACAAAAGAGATGGGAAGACTTAATCATGTGTGTTGACTCAGCAGGGATGATATTAAATAAGTTGATCTACAGGAGAAAAATATTTAAAAGCAATAAGAATGTCTGAGAGCTTCACTACATTATATTCTATTATAATTATATATTTGAATTGTCACCTGAATTTTTAGACATTTCCACCCTAAATTGGTGCAGAATGCAGGAAATTAAGTGTTTAATGCTTAAAATCTTCTGGGGGAGGACATTCACTTGTTAGTTAAATATAATTACTTTTACCAACATGGCTTTTTTGTTACCTTTTCCATGTTTTTAATAACAATAGTAACAATAAAAAAATCAAAATATATTCAGGGCAAATAGCCAACATCTTTTTTGATGGGGGGCGGTAAGGGAACTGGATAATGGATAGGGGGCCGCTGGCCCAAAAAAGGTTGAGAACCACTGATTTAGGCCTTCATTTCAGTCTGTCTGAACAGAAAGGAAGTTTTTCCTTGCCTCTGTCGCCTAGTGTTTGCTCTTGGTGGGAACTGTTGGGTTTCTGTAAATAATATCACAGAGTATGGGCTAAACCTGCTCTTTTATGAAAAGCACTATGAGATGAGAACTGTTGTTGTTGTTTGGCACTATATAAATAAAATTGAATTGAATTGAGTTCCTAATGACATAGGTTTCCATAGGATGTTTGGATGCATCTACAAAAGGTACACTCATCATCTTGTTTTTAACCCCTTGACGCCGATTGTCGCAAATTTGCTTCACACCTCTTCCTTTCAGACTGCAGCAGAGATAGTGTTTGTATTCCCCAAATGCCTGTTTGTGCATATTTGATACCTAGGAACCTTTTGCAAGCACTGTTTTCTCGTTTATGCCTGTTTTCACTAATTTGCCTCATACCTAAATCATACCTGAATTTATATCTTTTCTATGTTCTATAGACAAATTAACAATCTTCATTTAATTTAACATCAGCTTGAAAGCAAATGAAAACACAAATTATTATTCATTTTATTGTAAAAAAATTGAGGCATCAAGGGGTTAAAAGATAAGGCTGGTGTTTATTCTGTATTTTTCATATTGTTAGCAAATCATTCTGTGGGGCGTTATTTCCTGCAGTGGATAAATAGACATTTGGAAGGTGAATGTGGGATTGATGGTGTGAGGTCTCTGGCACAGATACAGTATATTGTATTTTTGATACACAGAATCATCTGAGTAGTCAAAAAAAATACTAGGCAGGTGATTGGGTGAAGCACCTATCTTTCATTGTCTATCAAGGGCTAACTGTAACCAATCCGATCAAAGAACCATATGATGTAGTAGGACAGCCGAAACCAAACATCTTTTCTATCAAGAAAAGCCTTCAGTGCCGTTCTTTGCTCTTCTTTTATTGTAGATATACTCTACAGTTCTGATATAACTGATGCTAGCAGCAGTATCTACACTAACCTCTTTAAGAGCCGCTATTGTTGTTTTCAGTCACTTTGCTTCTTGCTGTTGTCACACACTGTGGTCGAAACACTGTGGTTCGGCCATAAGCTCATAACTTGAAGCCTGGCGAGATTGGATTCTCACATGATCTCATATGGTCTTCATACACAGGGTAAAATCTCAATAAAAGTCTTTTGTTGTGGCACCTCAGCCATTGTTAGCAAGTTTAATACTCCGTTTGGGTTCACATAAAAAAGTGTTTATTTAAAGTAAAATCTTGCCCCCTGCAGCTTTAAATTATCTCCAAATTTCAAACCCTAAGCATTTAGAGAACAGTAACTCCGCATAGTGTAAACATACACATGGTCTGTGCTGTCCGTGTTGAGTGCCAGTATAGTAGATTATTTGGGTGTTATTGCTAGTGAGTGGAGTTGGGCTGAGTAAATCTTCTTCTTAGTAATTGGCCCCTTAGTTCTCAGTAATCGTCTTACAAGGTCAGGCCTCACATGTTCATGTTTTCCACTGCTTCTGAGGGATGATCACACTTATATAATACCATACACATTATACACTGCCTGTTCTTAAAAGCAACCATATATAACTGTAATTATTTGTCCCAAAACATATTAAATTATTGCAGAATTATATTTTCATTGTATTGTTATTATTATTATTATTTATTATTGTTTTTTTGAAAGACTGAAAGTTTGAAGTTGCCAATCCTATCTTCAGAAATGATCAACTCATCTTGTAATATTTGTTTATTCTATTAGGTATCAAAACCAGAACCCTCATGAAACGCCACAAGATGCACGTACACCACTTTTCCAGTCACCAACAAAGGTAGAGTCTGTCTGAAGAAAAACATTATTTAAAAAGTTGGGTGTGAGACCATGCTTTAGTGTGTTGTAGGTGTTATATGTATCAATGTTATTTTGTTGAAGCAAAGAAAAAATCCATTCAACTGTGAGGTCATGGCAAGTCACACTGTTGAAGAAAAGGGCCGTCAGTTACTGGACAAAACAGTGAATCAAACCCAGACACAGAAAGAGGGTGAGTTTTTATATAAACTATTTATTTGCTATTTTAAAAATGTATTGTGAGTGCAAGTGGATTCCTTTATCCATTGTGAATTAATGATATTATATCATGTGTTATGTTTTGAATTGAGTGGACTTCTTTATGGACAAATCGTGTAAGCAGTTACGTTACAAACCAATGTAAGTCTGGTTCTAGCAATTTGTTTGATCCAGGTGTGTGGGTCCTTTAGCTTCAGCAGTTTCAGCCTTCCCTGGGAACAGCATGTTGGCATGAGCAGTGGTTGCATGGCAGTGGAAAGCATGTACTGGCTTGTCATGTCTAACAATTTTATCATCTGATTTCATTCTATTGTTGCAATTTCAGAACACATTTTTAAACAGTGGTACAGGAAAACTGACAAATTACAATTCCACACAGGTCCTTTGTAGTTAACAGTGCTGGTTTAAAAATATTTAATAGATCAACAACCACAGCAATTTACTAAGTCTAAATGACAATGACCTTTCTTATATTTTAATCAGAGCTCTACAGTTGAAGTCTATATTTCTCAGTGTGTTTTCTTTCAGTCACTGTGAAGTGAGCCAGTGAGCAGGGACCACATTTTCCCAGGGCTTGTCAAAGTGAAAAAAGTCCAAATACACAAGGCTGCCAGAGTAGCCAAAGGATTACACGGAAATACATTCCGATGCCTTAATCTGTACTGCATGACTTGTGATTGATGGAAGTATTTCACAAGAGCTATGAAAACAATGTTTTTGTGGGAGAAATGATACGATAAGAAGGAAAAAAACAACACAAATAGTATCAGTTTAGACAGGGAACAACAGTTCAATTGGTTAGCTAATATTTATCCATATATTGAAAAACTTTACCAGTGTTATGTGTGGGAATTAATCAGTTGTACACAACAAACTCTTGAAACAAGCTGATCTTAAAAGCCTAATGGCAAACATAATATTCTAAAATTTGGGGCAGATTGTGCTCTTTAGTCATTGGTGCAAGAAATAACAACTGGCATTAGTTATGTACAAGGCACAGGATCCCTGAAAATGGTGAAACAGTAGTTTGAGAACTTAGCTTTCAAATAAACAGTAAAGAGTTTTACAAACTCAGCAAAAAAAGAAATGTCCCTTTTTCAGGACACTGTGACTGTGAAATCCAAACTATAGACTATAGATCTTTATTATAAAGGGTGTAAACAATGTTTTTCATGCTTGTTCAATGAACCATAAACAATCAATTGACATGCACCTGTGGAATCGTCCTTAAGACACTAAATGTATATAGACAGACTGCTCTTGGTGGGAACTGTTGGGCTTCTGTAAATATCATCATAGAGTACGGTCTAGACCTGCTCTTTTATGAAAAGCGCTGTGAGATAACTGTTGTTGTGATTTGGCGCTATATAAATAAAATTGAATTGAATTGAATAGACAGTAGGGAATTAACGTCACAGTTATAAAATCTAAGAACGCAGACCTTTCTACTGACTCCACCAAAAGAAAGATGCCCAGGGCCCCTGCTCATCTGTGGGAACGTGCAGGGCAACAAATTGCAATGTCTGTTCTGTGAGATGCCTAAGACAGCTCGACAGGGAAACAAGAAGGTCAGCTGATTGTCCTCGCAGTGGCAGACCACATGTAACAACACCTGCACACACCAGATACTGATTGTTACTTTTGATTTTGCCCCCCCCTTTGTGTTAAATTTTTGTTTCTCGCATGTCTGTGAAGTTTTCAGTTTATCCCTTAGTTGTTGAATCTTTTTATGTTCATACAAATATTAAAGAGGTGGTATTATTCTTTTTGGCTTTTCCCCTCTCTTTTATTGAGTTATATACCCTTTTGTGCATGTAATAGGTTTGCAAAGTGAAAAAGCCCAAAGTCCACCCCGGAAGGAGTTCCCATCTCCCTCAGAAAACACTGCTCTGAACTGCCTGAAAACGCTCGTTTGTAGTCCAAAAATGTACTTACAGTCCACAGTACTTAACAGAACAATCAGGTGGATACGTCACAGTGTTATATGAAAGAAGCTGTTTTCATTCACAGAAAGTAAATTCACTCAAGCAATCTTTTTTTTTGAATGACGAGTTGTGTTTATTGTTCCATGTGCCATGGTCGTGATCACATAAAAGATTAGTTAGTACTTTAACACATCCTGAAGTTTTAAATGTCAAAGTTTTACAGTTTAGAAGCTAATGAAGTTTAAACGTCAAGAGTCACTGGCAGCCATTCTACCTTATTTAGATACGGCGGGAGGGGGGCAGAGTCCATAGGTTGCAGGCTGGACCACCAGGATGCTCACAGCCAAATAACAGGATCTTCACAGTAGAGCAGGAAAACAGGCTGCAAATGTAGGCCTACTACGCAAGCTATGATGACTTTCACCTTGATATTTTAGCGCAGATTTATACCTAGCCGAATTGCACTGTAGGGGGCGAGAACGAGTCTTCGAACCTGTGTGTATGCCTACTGTGAAAATACCACATCAAACGTGACGTGCTAACATGGATGCAGCTATGAAGCCGCCGGGTTTAAGAAGCTTCCCAATGGTTTTCTCAAGCAGTTTGTGATGCATTTTGGAAACAGGAAATGAGCCCCTGGTCTAATGCGCCACCTGGCTTGATAAACCCGTTCTCAAAGACTTACGGCAGAATTCAAGTGAGCCATTTTAATCAAGATTACAGTGAGATTAATCTAGATTAAAAAATTAAAATCTATTAATCTATGCCCACCACTAATATATATATATACATAAAAATACTTTTGTTACATATTAATAACTCACCACTCTGAAACTCTTGCTCCAGTCCATGTTGCCAAGCTGGTCGGCAACATGTAGCCTACAGCTGAATCGAAGCTCTTTACGGACTTCTCGCTGACTCGCCCTTCTTTGCTTCGGGTTGGCTAGTAGTCCTTAACAACTCCCAACAAAGATCAATTAGAGGCAAGATGTATCACTCCATAGCTAAAACGAAGCCTCCAACACAGGGTGAAAAGAGGAGCTGCAGCAATGTGCAGTATGACAAAAATGTGGTGTTTTTTGAAAATTAAACCATGTAAACCTGTCCTGGTACAACCCCTAAATAAGATTTTGAACATGAAAATTAACATAATACCACCTCTTTAACACATGTTAAATTTACTGAAAATAAAAGCAGTTGTATGTGACTGGACGTTTCTTTTTTGCTGAGTACATGTAAAGCACTTCCTTAGATGCTCAAATACACATTGCAGCAACTCTTACAGGGAACAAATGTTCTCTCTGAAAATTAATGGGAGAGGAAAGAAATGTGAGACCATGTGAGAAGTTTAGAGGGGAAATGTCTCTATGGTGAACCTATAAACAACTCAGAGACATCTGAAACATGACAAGAAGCTCCAACTAGACTTTCCACCCCTGATGATAGACTGGAGTCAAAAGTAATAATGTAGGACAGAGATGCAGGGATGCTTGATTAAACGGAGACTTTAATAGTAATAAACATGATTCTGTGTTTGATGGGTAGCTAGTTGCTGAAGGACACCAGTGATTAAACTGTCAGAATGTTTAAAAGCACTTCCAGAGTTACCTTCATGACAAAAACACAGCGGATGTGTTGTTGGTTAAAATGGTGGTCATTTGTTTTTGTTTCTTTCAGAGCCTTTTCCACCACCTGACCACTGCATTTCTTATGCTAGTGACCTTAAACAAAACTCTAACGATAGCCTGTTCACCCAGAATACATCTGTTCCCATGCTAATGCCCGAATACGGAGCAGTCAGCACCAGGTCTCAGGACTGTTTTGTTGACGTAGACAGGCCGGGAGATACACAGACTAGCTCCGTTGCTCCGCGTGGCATCCTCAAGCATTTGTCCACTTCTAGCTCAACAGACTCCCTGCTCTCTCGTCTGGAACTGCAGAGTCCAGTTAGCCTGGATTCTCCCACTGAGACCTGGATAGAGAGGAAGCAGGTGAGGTTCAGCTCCATAGTAGGTTGGACCGAAGTGGAGTGGCAGGATGGGAAGGAGCTGGGAGAGCACAGTTTGCTGGACATCGACTCCATCACTCCCTCCAAGGCGGGAAATAATAGTGATCTTGAGAATACTGGCAGTACATCTCTTGGCACATGTAGGCTTTTACTCATTCAAAGTCAAGTGGATTCTCAGGAAGGTGAACTCATTTGCAAAAATGAGGCACACATCCAAGAGCAAGAAGCTGGCCAACATCAGGTCCTGTGTGGTAAGAATTTTGTTTAAAACCATTGAGTCAAATAAAAGCCAATCAATACATTCATAGACATTTACAAGCATATACAAAAATAATGTTCACATCATCCTGCTTGTGCATGTTCTTGCATGCAGTGAAATATGTGCATTTATGTATGACTGCTTACAAAATGGGTGGGAAAGAACAACAAGAAAAATCTGTTTTTATTTAGATTTTTCTTTAATTTACAGTACGTTGCTTTGGCATTATGGGAAATCTGTCACAAAATTCAAGTCGTCATTTGTCGGCAATTTATCTACTAATGCCTCATGCCATGTGTTGGACTTTTTCATTAGTTTATTGTGAAATGAAGTGTGACACAGCTAATCCCATAGCATATGATTAGGTCTAAAGTGCAGCCTTAATCTACTCATTTTATTTGGTCCACAATTGGAGCTCATTATTTAAGTATTATAATGCAAATGCTGGTGGATTGATAAATTTTACATTGAGTGCAGAAGCGAAATTGATTCTTAAACCACTGTGCGTAGGTGTTTTGTGTTTTAATTGTATATTCAAAATTATTCTGATAGCACAAGTGCAGCAATGAGACAGTGTTCTGTGTTGCAGCCATTTCATTTCAGTGTAATTGGGTCAGATCTGCTAGTATATGCATTGCTGGTTTCCATGCTTTCTAAACTACTGATGGGCACTAAAGTTAAGCAGATATGTAATATATATATCGAGTATTTTATAGTTGTTTGTAACAATTGTTGGTTGCTGTCTTTGCAGATGTCTCTGATCACTGTCATTCGGAGTTCCTAAGCCCTACAGTGTCTGGACTTGTTTCTGCTGAGCAGGAGACAGGTAAGCAGGAGTCGCACCTGGAGACCAAGCCTGAAGAGGACCGTCACTCTGAGACTAAGGCCACAGACTGGCCAGCTGGACACAACATTCATCAACAAAAGCTGCCTGAACATAGCACTGACAATTCTCTTAAGGCCACCTCAGATACCAAGCTGTCAACTAATTGCAGCTCAAAGGGTTCATCTCATGTGGTTTCACCCAAGCCTAGACAAAGACTACTTGGAATTTTTAAAAAAGATAAAGAGAAAACTGCTGGAGTACAGAGTCCACAGAAAGAAGAGGTGAATATATCCAAGCAAAAAGAACCAGGCAACACCCAGAATCTCTCCCAAGGTGCTGCAGACACTACTGTGGACAGCCCTGCAAGTGTCAGACAAGAAGCTCCTCCTTCTGAGTTGACAGAGGTTAGAACACTGCAACTTACAGCACTGCAGAACACTCCGTTTATGGAAACAGTGGCCTTGGTAGATGCAGACACTCAGCAGGAGGCAACAGGAGGTAGAGTTGTTCAGCTTCCAGAGAGACTGTCCAATCTGAAAGCTTTCTGGGAGAGGGAAAACAGTGGTCCCAAAATAATATTTACCAGAGAAGAGGCAAGGCACAAAGACATCACCAAGATAGGTATAGAAGCTTCACAGAATAACTGTGATGTGGTGAGCATCAACAACAATCTCTCACCTCAAATGACAATGACTGCTGGCAGGTCCCAAGAAAAGAGTTCATCACAGACTGTCTATAGCCTCTTAGTAGATGTATCTAAAGAAGATGGCACGTACAGAGCGAATCCAGTCCTCATCTGTGATGAGACAGATGACTCTTTAACAGGTTCAGTAACAGAGTCACAGATTTCTGAGCCGCAGGAAAATATCACCACTCCCGTATCTTTCTCTGTAGCCTTTAACACTCAGAGGCAAGAGGGGGATATTCCAGTTCCCCTTCCCAGGCAGTCCAGTTCCAGTCCCCCAGAGGACAGGCCAGCCAGGCTCAGTGATCTTAAGAATTTCTGGGAGAAGGAATATACAGGACCTAGGGTAATTGCTGCAAGAGTCAAGGAAGCCTCAAGTAGTTCAGTACTCAATCAGCCTGATCCGAGAACATCCTTAGATAGCAGAGAGAAGTTTGACGCACAACTGTCTCCATACAAAAACAGGTCTAATGTTGTCTCGAAATCATCAAAAGTGACAGACAAGGGTTTTGTCAGGCAGAGTCCAGACAAATCACACCTGAGGAGTTCTGATAGTTCTGGGGATGTACAGTCTACATGTCACCAATCCCAAGTCAAGGCTGATAGGGAGTCTCAAGAAAGGCCCCTCAGTCCTAGTAAATGTCAATCTCCAAGATCAAAAGACCAGGATGATGAAGTCAGGAGGAGTCCATCTAAGACCTGCCACCCAAGCGTCCTACCTAGAGAATCTTCCAGTCCAAAGATATCCAGGCTGGAAGGCTCTCCATTGAAAACCTTTCCAATAGACATCAACCCCCAAACTAAGGTTGATGAAGAGCAACAAGGAAAGCTGACACCTGTGCCAAGACAGAGGAAGAGTCCCTCTTATGAAGCAAAGCAGAAAGTGCTAATAGACACTAAACCCAGCAAAGACATCATCTCTTGTCTTCTCCCTTTACATCTAGAGGACAGCAGGACTTATTTTGGTAATGTAAATACACAACAAAGTAGTTTAAACTCCCCTTCTTCATCACAAACTGAAAAAGCTTCAGGGAAGAAGCTGGGGCCATTTACACGCCTTGCTAGATCTTTCATACCTCAGGATTTTCAACACTACCTCGGGCCACAGGAGAAGGCCCATGTTCCTCAATTTCACCAGGAGAAAGCTGCTGCTGCTGCTGCAGAGGATCATGTGGTACACAGACCACAAAGTGCCCTCAGAGAGTTTGTGGGAAACCAAAGTGACAGTCCCACTGAGGGGAATCCTCCCAGAATCAGTTCTTGGATTGTGCACAATAAAGACGGGAACTCCAGCCGAGACATTTCAACCACGGCCTGGTCTCGGGCAAGTTCAGGCAGTGAGCTTTTTAATTCTGTCTTCATATAGATTTCTTCAAGATAATGATTGAGCAATGGAAATCACAGTGATGTTTTTCTTTAAAACAAATCAAACAAAACAATAATTTTACATTAGTATACTTGCCCTGACAAATTCTTCAATTTCAAAATTATTTTCTGTGTTTGTACAATCATTTGTGTTCACCGACCTTAATTTGTCTATTCAAATTTATTTGTGTATTCAAAACTGCAGAACAAATGTTTAGATTTTAGTGGTCTTTTAATCCTTTAACCAGTAGAAAATTAGTTCCTAGTGTTTACTATGATGAGAGTATCATTCTTACAGTCTAAACAGATTTACTAAGCATTATACTTGCCTGAAATGTTTGACCAAATATAAACCAGCAATGTTCCACTTTTTACTTCCATTGAAACAGAAACATTATCATTTTAGATGGTTGCTTAGTATTAGTAAGTAATCAGAAATTGTGTAACTGTGTTGAGTCTATTTTTCAGAGCAGATTTGGTTTAATATGTGGCAGGTTCTGATGAGACTTCTAGTCCCATCATGTCAGCTCTGAAACCATTATCTTCAAGGAGCATCTCCTCATCCAAAAGTCTGGAAAACCTCACCTCACAAACAAGTAACAGAACTCTTACTTCTTTAATACAGCAGCTGGTCATAAATTTATTGTATTGTGTGCAATATTTCAAGTTAAATAATATAATTTTATATAGGAGTAGTATGTAAATAATACAGTCTCATGGCCCCATTTCTTCTCAGGAGAACAGAGGACCCAAAATTACTCAACAGAACAAATTAATCAGAGTGTTGATGAAGGTAAATATCTGGTCCTCTATTTATACACACATTTATCGGGACATACACAGGCTTGGCAATGATTTAAACGTGCAATAAGCATACTTTTGAAATCCAGAAATACTCCTTATGGTCAATGTAAGAGATTCAAAATCATATCTTTCTTGTTTCGTTTCTTCACTTCTACCGTCAGCCTTTATTCGCTCCAGCTCAAAGCAGATGAAAAGCAGTGTGTCAGTGCCTGTTCTTCAGCTGGATGAGGTAAATCACGTTTAACTGACTCTTTGAACTCACACAATAAAAGTATGATATTCAGTATTCACTGCCGTCTGCACTGCAGTTAGTCAACTGATACGTTTACCAACTTTACTACTCACATAAGATCTAGATGATTGTTTGCTCTGATTTCTCTGATGTACTTCTGTGACAGATTTTTGTTGTTTTTTATGTGTCATTCATGTCTTTCTGTTTTCTCTGATCTGATCAGACGGACAGTGACAGCCCAATTGAGACTAACTTGGGCTTGAGAAGAAACACAGGCAGCTCCATGTCTAACTTAAGTCTCTCCTCGGGAATGGCCTCCATGTCATCTGTATGTTCATGTGGAGCTCACAAGATAATATATGTTTCTGATAAAAATACATAGTGCATATAGATTGTGAGCCACATTTGTGGAAAGTTGAATGTTCACTACAATATAATTTTTCAAACCTATCTATTCAGATTTGTTTATCTTTTGATGATTGTTGAACCAAGTCATGTGGTAAGCACATTTCAGATTAGAATAATTCACTTTTCAAATATCACTATGCAAACTGGATATGGAAGGATAAGGCTGTATTTTCTTATTGTCAGCAAAAGACCAAAAGCAACAATACGACCCTTCACTGTATTTGGCTCTCAGCTCCAAGTCCATTGAAGGTTTTATTTAAAAGTCATTAACTTAGGTACAAGAATATAATGGAAAACTAGTATGTTTATAGCAGTATGGTAACATTTGGCATAGTCACTGCAGTTGTTTATAGCTGCCATACAATTTGCTTAAGCAAAAATAAAAGACAACTAGAACTGCAAGCAGTTATAAGCGGGATCCAAGCCTCTCGGTGTAAGCCACCCCCCCTGGCCCCGCGGAGGGCGCGCGAGTCGGCCCGGGCGCCCCACCGTGGCTCGGGGGGCCCATGGAGAATAAACGAGCAGAGTTCTAAATGAAAGGAGCTTGCGGTTATGGAGATCTGAAATTAATGTATGTCTATGGGAGTGTTATTTCATTTCCTATTAATAGCGCCAACTAGAGGCGGATTGATGGCAAATTTCACACAGCCCCTCTGGAGGGCGTGCCAGATAAGGTCCCCGAGTTTGGTGTACATTGGCCATTGCAAACGTAAGAGGTGATATGACATCCTGTTTTTAGCGTTTGCGCAAAAATTTGTTTGCTTATAATTCGGCCGTTTTTTGGCGTATCAAAATTCCCTCTATAAACTTTCTTCAGCTTGGTCCAGAGATGGTCCGTGCCAAGTTTTGATCGGACTTGCGGCTTCGGAGGAGTTAATTAAAATAGGTTTTTCAGTTTTCGCGATGTAGCAAAAATAAAGTTTAGGCGGAAATGGGCGTGGCTTATACCAGGAGTTTCAGCTCGATCCCCTGAACGCGTGGATATATGGTTTTTGATGGTTCCCAGCACTCGGACTTGGACCCTTAATTAGGTTTTTCCTACACTTTCATTTTGATAATTGTACTACTAAAAGAGTTTAAACCAGAGAGCATGGTGTTTTCTCTTTTTTGTGTTATTATGAATGAGCAGGTCAGTGGCAGCATCAGCAGCATTTATCCTGCAGACTGTGGTGACATTGAAGTCCAGGGAAACATCCAGTTTGCTGTCAACTACATCCAGAAACTTGGAGAGTTTCATATCTTTGTGGTGCACTGTAGGACTCTGGCAGTGGCTGACACCAAGAAGACCCGCTCTGATCCGTAAGTGCTTTTTATAAACGGTGTGATCAAAATGGCAAAGTACAACAAATAGTAGGACAAAGGTCATATTATCCAGGATTATGGGAACTAATTATCCTCTGGTAGATATCTTAAGCAATTAACTTTTTTCCCTGCTAGACACCAAACATACTCCAGACAGTTCTGGAGATTTATCACCTAAGATTACTACTCTTTTACAGACGATAGAAATTGGCTAAATGTCTGTCTGGACCATCGTGCAACTCTACGTACAGTAGGATTTCCTAGTACTCCAAACCAGGCTCCAGAATGGAGATTTAATTTAACACTGTCAGCAATTTTAATCAGTTTTACAGGAAATTCTTGCATTTCAGTGAGAATTCTGTGGTGGAGGTAAGGTATTTATAAGATGATATCAAATGTTTCCTTACAAATAACACTGTAGAATTTGCTTCTGGTCTTAACAAGACTTATCCTAAAGATATACCAGATTTAGCAGAATAATACAGGCATTTCGTTCTAAAAGAGGATGGGAGGGCAGGGGTAAAGAGCGGTTTATAAATACGATTATAGAAGTAGAATAGGAATATAAGGCTACTGTCTTTTCACAGGTATGTGAAATGTTACCTTCTTCCTGACAAAACAAAGTTGGGAAAGAGAAAAACCACTGTAAAAAAGAAGACTTTAAACCCCACCTACAATGAAATCCTCAAGGTAAGAATTGCATATTTAGTCTTTTATAAATTTCTCATTACATGTATTTCATATTTTACAAAAATCTTTGCTGCTTTCTTATCCTTTCATAGTTTAAAATAACAATGGAGGTGTTGAAAACTCAGAATTTGAACATCTCAGTGTGGCACAACGACACTTTTCGGCGGAACAGTTTCCTGGGCGAGGTGAACCTGGACTTGTCAGAGTGGGACTTCAGCAACACACAGATAAATGAATATGCATTAAAAACCAGGGTAAAAGCTTTGTCTGTATGCAGACAGTGTGTATTGTGGAAGGGATTTGATTAGAGATTTATTCACCTCAGCTCTCTTTCAGGTCTTTCAGGTCTCAGCACAAACCGCAACACTGTCTCTCTCACGTCTGATAGACAACAGAGGACAGATGAGAGTCGCCCTGAGATTCCTGCCGCAGACGTCTGACAGTGAGCTGATGACTCCTCAGTTTGTTTAAATATTTTTCCTTTCAGATTTGAATCACTTATTGTGGTCTGACTGCATCCATAGGCAAGAGAACATCTAGGACGGAGACTGGTGAGGTGCAGATTTGGGTGAAAGACTGCAAGAATCTTCCTCCAGTCAGAGGGGTTACTATTGACCCATTTGTGAAATGGTAGGATGTCCTGCAAACTGTCAGGTCACTGATTATCAAGACCCAATTGTGTTCAAGATTCAATAAGTAAATCAAACATTATTTTAAAAAATAATAATAAAAATACTGACAAACTATGTAATATAAGAAATAATCCATTACATTTTCTATTGTCTGTTTGCTCATTCAGCCTGAAGCAACAGCAAAGACTCTGTGAGGAAAAGTGAGATTGAATGTAAAACAGTCTGTGATTCTTACTGTCAGAGGGAACGATCATGAACTGTTCACAGCGCGTCAGTTGTACTAGTGACACAACCCATTGTGGGTATTGGAGAGGGAGTGGGGCGCTGAAGCGCACACGACCAGGGGCACGAGATCACGGAGCGACCGGCCCGCTGCAGATGGTCGGTGATCGTTCCCTCTGGCTGGATGAAGTCTGACACTCTTCAGTATAGAAAATAATAGCAATAAAGCATGCTGTCAATATTTCACAAAACCCCCAAAATTTCACAAATCATGCTTTTAGGGGAGCTGATGTCTTAATTAGGGGAGCTAAGCTCCCCCTGGCTCCCCCATAGTTCACACCCTGGTTATATGGCATATTTTGCCTATATTTATTAATGTGATTATCTATTTCATAATGTCTTATTTATTATGTTTTGTCAGGTCTGTCCAAATGAGTAAATGCATTTTATCTCATTCTCTTCTTCTGCAGCAATGTACTTCCTGACAAAAGCCAAAAAAGCAGACAGAAGACACGGGTTGTGAAGAGGACCGCCAACCCGATGTTCAACCACACCATGGTGTACGACGGCTTCCGACCAGAGGACCTCAGAGAGGCCTGTGTGGAGATCACAGTGTGGGATCATGACAGACTTAACAATCACTTCATCGGTGGTCTGAGGCTAGGGCTCGGCACAGGTGAGACTCCACTCCACTGTTACTCTTCCACCTTGCATTAAAGTGTGATCTGAATTAGAAAAAAATCAAGATCATGAGAAAATTTTCTTTGCAAGACGCGTAAAAATATAACCACAATTAAAACACAATAAGATGAATGAAGACATTAGAAGTGCCGGTACAACATATGCAATACACAATACAATAAAAGCAAACAGTAAGAGAAGGCATAATATAAAGTACTTAGCTGTGCAGGAGAGGTCTATATAATAACACAATCACTTTCTGTCAATAATAAAAACATCTTCATATATAAAATACAGTATTTGTTGCCCTTTCTAGCATATCGCCAGAGTGTGTTTAATTTCTTGTCAATGTAAACACAAAAGGAATATTCAGCTGTCCACAGTTCTCACTTTGTGCCCTTTACCAATCTCTGAGGAGGTAGAAGTGATGTCAGTAACCATATCTTGGTTTTTTTAGAGATGTTCAGTCTCAGAAAGCTAACATAACACCATTGTACAAGTGACAACTGTGTCATTTGTGAATTTAAGAATGTGCTTGTCCTTGTACTGACTCCTACAGACACTGGTGTAGAGAGGAAACAGTAGGGACAGGACACAACTCTGTGATGGCCTGTAGAGGACATATTACCCTCTGAGATCTAGAATTGTGGGTTTAATGTGTGGTCTGAGTTTGGATACACTGTCAGGATAATGAACAAACCTGACATATTATTGTATTTACACCATTGTTTACATATTTGTGTCCACTCACACTCCCATCCCAGTGAGGGGTTTGTATTTTCATTATTTCTATGCCTATGTAAGACATGCAGACTGCATTTTAATACCAGGGTCTCAAGCATTTAATCATTTTAACATGACTTTCAGTGATTACCTTCATATTAATAAGATGATTTCTATGCCTTTCTGTACAGGGAAGAGTTATGGGGTGGAAGTGGTTTGGATGGATTCAACAGCAGATGAAGCAAATTTGTGGCAGAGGATGTTACAGTGTGATGGTGAATGGGTGGAGGATGTTTTACCTCTGAGAATGTTGGTGGTGGCAAAAAGCATGTCAAAGTGAGACTGTATAAAATGTGTTGATAAATGTGCACTGCATGTACATTTGAATGGATCTACAAACAATACACTATAAGTGGAAGCGTAGCTTTAGTGAGTAATGTGTATCTAACTAATGATCATTGTGTGATAAATAAATATACACTGTGCATTAGTTTGTATAGTCCAAACCACATGTTAAATGTCATCACAAAAGTTAAATTTCTACAAATTATACCAAATAGGGCAGAGGATACAATCATACAGTTAGAAAACATACAAATTGTTTTGATCTGAAGATATATTTGATCTGAGCAATAATGATTTGTATATAGTCCTATTGTTATATAATGTGACTGTTGCAACAAGCAATTCTATCTTCAATAAACAGGATATTAATGTGACTTGTAATTTGGTGTATAATAGTTCATGTGGCGCCCCAGCAGCCTTAATGGTATGAGTAAGGGTTCTTTGCTGCATGTCATCCCCTATTTTCTGCCACCTTTCTCTTTCTGTAGCTCTCACTGTACAGTAAAGGCAAAATGCCCAAAATATAATCTTTAATATACAGTATCTCACAAAAGTGAGTATACCCCTCACATTTCTGTAAATATTTGATTAGATCTTTTCATGTGACTACACTGAGGGAATGACACTTTGCTACAATATAAAGTAGTGAGTGTACAGCTTGTATAACAGTGTAAATTTTCTGTCCCCTCAAAATAACACATCACACAGCAATTAATGTCTTAACCTCATGAGCGAGTACACCCCTAAGTGAAAATGTCCAAATTGGGCCCAAAGTCAGTATTTTGTGTGGCCACCATTATTTTCCTCTTAATCCTCTCGGGCATGGAGTTCATCAGCAGCCTGTTGCACCAGCGATACGTAAGTTCTACCTTAAGTTAGGGTGCAAAGTCCAAGTGCATGCGTGAATAGTCTTGGACTCTTACGTTCAGTCGTCACACGGCAGCTGCCTGGGCTCTGTCAGCAGAGGAAACAGTATTGATTAGTTCAGGACTTCAGGATAACTGTGGGTCTCTGGGTTTGAGTCGTTCATTTGTCACGTGACATCTCGGCTACTGTGGAGCAGGAATGAACGACTCGTTCACTGCTCACACGGGTCCTCCTCTGTCTTTCGTTCATTTGGCAGGCTGAGTTACTGCCAGCGCCAGAGAATGAGAGGCAGGTCGGTTGTCAGGTAACAGTCACTGGACTGACATTATATATCTATTTTGATAATTTTGTGACATTTAATAAAGCATAACGTTATTACAGCGCAGTTATGTTGTGTCATGGTTTTAACAGCCGTACGGTAACTTTAGTCCTGCTAGTGTTTACAGCTAACAGCTGATGAGAGTTGTTAGGTACACAACCTAACTTTTACTTTTTATTTACCAACAGAGCCGTGCTGTTGTTTCACAGCTCCTCACTGGTGAACAGCATGTAGAGTTTGAGATTATTATTAAATTTGTTAAATTTTAATAAGAGTTTTATTCATCTAGTGCATCAAGCTTATTACTTCAATATATTCCCGCAAATCTGATGTTAATATATAGATATTACTCATAGATAGCAACATAAAGCTACTGTATGAATGAGCACTTTAGAGATATAAAGATAGTAATTATAATTATATAGATATGCTGGTCTGGTTGTATACTCTGTAAAGATTATGAAAATAGACAGATTTAGCTGCAGTAGTGGTGATTGCATATTGACAACATATTTCTGTGGTTTTTACATGGTTTGAATTTGGTTGTGGCTCCACGGGGCTTTATAGAACCATGATAGAGAAAGATCAAGAGCTGAATTTGTGCATTATACTTTGTCAATTAGAGCAAACCAGGCAGCCTTCTGTGTTTGAGAACTGCACTGTTTTTTTTAAATTGCCCACTAGAAGGCTGCAAAGCTGCAATAGCCAGCCTACTTAAAATGAACGAAATGACACAAAAAAAGATTAGTTCATTTTAATGAACGAGATTTGGTGACATTTCCCATCACTAGTCCATACTCATCAAAACAGTGTCGCAGAAAATGACGTTTACACATCCCATGGCCAACAGCACTATTCTTAACAGAGTTTCTTACGGTTGTGTCATCTGTTTGTCTCTCTCTCTTTCAACGTTTTGCAATACTGAAGAGGCTAATGGCTAAAAATAGCAACAAAACACCAACAAAAAGGTATGTATACAAGGACAAATAATTCTGATTAGGTGATAACTAAGAAACCTTAATCTACAGCTAGTGTCACAGTGACATCGAGTGGTAAAACTACAACATACACGTAATTTAACGGTGCCCGTAACGAACAATAAAGTATAACGGGCAGATGAAATTGTAACATTATAACTTATATACGGGTAGCAGCCATTATGCCCCTCATATTTCAAAATCTATGTTTTGCTCCTCCTGATCCCAGTCACCCCACCTTTCAAAACGATGCGCCATGACAACCACTTGACTATTTTATGGAGGACTTTACACCTATTAAGGACTAGGTGTAAGATTTAAGTTGTAACTTATGTTTACGTTGGACGTATTTCAGCTGGTGCAACTCTTAAAACGATAGTAGCACGTAAACTCCGACTTAAGTTACGTTCAAACTAGGCTAAGTTTGAACTTACACATAGTCGGTGCAACCCAGTGCTGAGCTTTACATGTTGCCACGGGAGTCCTCTTCCACTCCTCCATGACGACATCACAGAGCTGGTGGGTGTTAGAGACCTTCTGCTCCTCCACTGTTTGAGGATGCCCCACAGATGCTCAATAGGGTTTAGGTCTGGAGACATGCTTGGCCAGTCCATCGCCTTTAGACCACTGCCTTGCTAAAGAAGCTGAGGGTCGTCATCATATTGGAATACTGCCCTGCGGCCCAGTCTCCGAAAGGAGGGGATCATGCTCTGCTTCAGTATGTTACAGCACATGTTGGCATTCATGGTTCCCTCAGTGAACTGTAGCTCCCCAGTGCCGGCAGCACTCATGCAGCCCCAGACCAGGACACTCCCACCACCATGCTTGACTGTAGGCAAGACAGACTTGTCTTTGTACTCCTTGACACGCTTGACACCATCTAAACCAAATAAGTTTATCTTGGTCTCATCAGACCACAGGACATGGTTCAAGTAATTGGTGTCCTTAGTCTGCTTGTCTTCAGCAAACTGTTTACAGGCTTTCTTGTGCATCATCTTTAGAAGAGGCTTCCTTCTGGGACCAGTTTGATGCAGTGTGCGGCGTATGGTCTGAGCCCTGACAGTCTGACCCCCCACCCCTTCAACCTCTGCAGCAATGCTGGCAGCACACAGACGTCTGTTTCCCAAAGACGTGCACTCAGCTTCTTTGGTCGACCATGGCGAGGCCTGTTCTGAGAGGAACCTGTCCTTTTGAATCGCTGGATGGTCTTGGCCACTGTGCAGCAGCTCAGTTTCAGGGTCTTGGCAATCTTCTTGTTGCCTAGGCCATCTTTATGTAGAGCAACCATTTTGAGGGAGTAGTACCAGTTTGAGGGAGTGTGACAGCGATATCACCAAATTTAACACACCTGCTCACCATTCACACCCGAGACCTTGTAACACTAACGAGTCACATGACACCGGGGAGGGAAAATGGCTAATTGGGCCCAATTTGGACATTTTCACTTCACTTCACTTTTGTAGCCAGTGGTTTAGACATTAATGGTTGTGTGATGTGTTATTTTGAGGGGACAGCAAATTTACACTGTTATACAAGCTGTACACTCACTACTTGTAGCAAAGTGTCATTTCTGTTGTCATATGAAAAGATATAATCAAATATTTACAAAAATGCAAGGGGTATACTCACTTGCTAACACCCAAAATGCAGATTTTGGACCATTGTGTCAAAACTCTACACACAAGCCAAACAAGACACAACACTTGAAAAAAACTTGGAAATGAACATCTCACTTATGTCTAGACGAACTTCGGCAATCAAAAGCTAACACTTCTTTTCCAAAGGGAATTTTTATTTCAACACAGATGCACCATGTATATTAGACACTGAAAGCAGCAGCAACACATTGATGACCTTTATTCAAAACACTGCTGTCTTTAGTACTTTGTAGACCTGTTTTATTTCATACAGGCCTCTATAAAAGATTGTTCAAGTAAAGAAAATCTACTACTAGTCAATACAACATGTTTTTGGAAACTCACAGCAACAAAAAATTACAATCAAATAAAATTATAGTGTACTGGTAAACAAAAATTATTGTGCAAGGAATGAGCTGGATAGTTTTATGGATCTTGCCTTTTATTAGTGTCGGGTGATGTCCTCTCTGGCTAGGCAACGGGTAAAATATTGTATTGCATGTTTTGTTCAACTGTTGATTTACCCCATCTGAATGTCTCTGCATGCATTCGCAATTGCTTGCAGAAGCGGCATGCGGGTATGTGGTTGGCGGTTATGCACTTTCTAATGCCAAGCCGGAAAGAATTCCTCAATCAGATTGAAAAATGGTGAGTCAGAGGGCAGCTTACCTGAGGTCTATTTGTAGTCCTACAGCTGTGACTAATTGGTGTTCAGTTACTGTTTAATTGTTTTAATGTGTGTGTGGGTGTTTTACAATTTCAAGTGTGTTTTACATTGAATTGTTTTCCCAATAACTGCAAGAGTTTTAATTCTTGAACAAAGTGTGTAATGTATTAAACTGTGTGTAGTGTTTTGCACTGTGTGTTGCAGAATTGATTACAAAGTGCAAAACTGAAAATGTACCTGTGTGTAAGTCACAATTACAAAGAGGTAAGGTTTTCATGCATTGGTCTCACTTTTAGTGTGTTAGTAATCAGGAAAAACTGTAATAATGATTATACTGCATTAAATCCAGATCAACAGATGCAGGGAATAGATAAGTTTAAATGGCAATATAGATTATTGCTCAAATTGAAATAGTGAAAAGAAAGAGGAAAAAGTTCCAAATTCCGTTGTTGGTGAGGAGTTGTGTTTAAGGCTTGCTGCTAAACAAAACGCTTGTTTTTGGTCCAAAAATTGGATAAACACCGACTTTTTATGAGGAAAATGCAAAAGAAGTGACCACAATACGCCAGTGCAGAGAAAGAGAGGAGAAAGAAAGAGAAAGAAGGAAAAGAGATCCAGTTTGAAGAAGGAACAGAGCTCAGAAACAGAGCATCAAGCTGAACAAGGAGAGAACAAAAACAAACACAAAAGAGGATAGAGGGACTCAAGCAAGTTACAGCAAACTACTGGACACTGAAATCAGTAAGTTTTATTATTTTATTACTATAAAACAAGTCCCAACTGAAACACTCAAGCTAATAGCTAACAAGCTAACACTGGACTGTGGTTACCTAGCAACGGCATCAAACAGCAGTAGTGCTGTTTTAAACACAGAAGCTTGAAGATCAACACCTGTTTCATAATGTCT